GGGGGGGGGGGGGGGGGGGGAAGGAGGTAACGATATCGCGTGGAATCGCGTCCCTTACCTCTCAAGCCGTTTGATCTCGCGCCAACTGAATACAAAAGACGATAGTTGGTTTTACCCCACTTATTTCTCCCCTTTTTATCCTCCACACGAGGCACTTTGACGTTTTATTTATCGTGATGAGGCCACGGTGGATAGATTGAAAAATTTGAAATCGATTGTTTTGGGTGAGGTAGCCATTTTGAAGAGGTAAAGCCACTTACGCCGCACCCCCGAGGGCCACACTCTCACAGATCTACCTGTCTTTTTACCGTGTTTATCACTCAACACATTCCCATTTAGTTTCTATTATTGTCCTGTCAATCTAGAGTTTTTTTTTCCGTTGTTCAAATCACATTGCTGCCTCTCCTTCACTCGTTAATTCTCGGATTTACCCGGAATGTAATCCCCAAGTTGATTCAAAAGCAATCATTTATCAAAATCTCATTTAATTTTCCTCCCTCAAACGATGAAACCGGATTTTACGGTTCATTTTTCTTTCCAATTTCCTTCATTTTTTTCAGCCCCCCCCCCCTCCTTTCGTTTTGATTTTCTCCGGGTGATGAAACATTTAACCACCCATTGAGTACATCACAAATTGTTATTGGCTAGGAGACCGACCTGAGGGTGAAGCTTGGAAAAAAAAAGAATCCAGTGACGTCCGATTGGATTTTAGAGTCTGGGTCGAGGGGGAAAAATATATCGACAGGCGTCGACAGGTGTAACACAGCGTGACAAGAGAGAGAGATTGCCCTTGTGTATACTTAGTACCAGCCACTGATGGTACATGACGTCGAGTAAATAACAAAGACAATATCCCCAGTGAATTGTACTGTCTGGAAAATTGTGTTTCGCCGTTTGATTCACGTGGTTATGGTGTGCAGATTATGGTGATATAGAGTCGCATCAATAAGCATTCCAATTACATTCTCATGGCTGCGTATGGACAAACTTGTGGGTGGGGAGGGGGGAGAGACGGGGGTTTTGGGAATATCAAGTGGAGCAAGGAAACTGCTGCTGATCAAAATAGGATTTGGTTGTGCTAAAGTGCGGGGCGGGAGGGGGGCGAGGAGGGGGTGCGAGGGGGTGTAGGGTGGCCGGCCATTTATCCGACCATTCGGTGGAATTAACTATCCAATTAGCAACGCGGGAGGGAAGAGCGAGTGATACGTGCTCCACGTATGTCCAGTTTGGATTTAATTATCTTGCCTCTCTGCCGTATTCAATCCCATGACGTTCCTCTCGACGGTGTAAATTTTCCACCGGTATCCCTTTCTGGATAATTAATCGCTGGAATAGACAGGTAAATACACAATGATAATAATTGGTGGCGAGTGGAATGAATTTTTGGTGAAAAGTCTCGGAGTAGTTTTGCGGAGGTGGCAGTCAGACTGAAGGTGCAATTAATCCGTGTCATTACGGTAGATTTTACGATTTATCTTCGATAATTTTTTTTCTTCGTTTTGTCAATTTAACGAGGGTGAGGCGTGATATCGAGGATATTTACCCACTTTGGAAATGGGAATTTCAACGACTTAAGGCGCACTTTAAATTCAGCCGACGTTGCTCCATATAAAATTCCTCACTCCTGAGTGGATTATTTTTTTTATTATCATGTTTTTTTTCAGTTCCTTTTGGTTTCATCCTCTGGACGTTTTTTATCTCAGTCTCTCTCTCTCTCTCGTCTCTGTTTCACTGAAATACACCTCTCAAAGTTACACTTTTTACCATTTGAATTTTATGCCGGGAGAAGTGAGATTTTCTGAGCATAGGTCTCAGGTTGGGGCGACTGGGGGTAACAGTCGCTCGAGAAGCGAGAGACATGCTCTCCATTTCCCTAGGATTGATATCAAATTCAGGCGCTTTTATATCATACCGTGAAAGAGGTCTTTCCCGTTATTTTCATTTCAACTTCTCTTCTATGCCGTTTTCACGTTTTCTTTTTGTCTCAACTTTGTCAAACTATCCGCTCGTGTTTGTGTGTGTGTGTGTGTGTGTGTGTGTGTCTGTGATGGAAAAGGTGAAAAGTGATGGTAGTTTGAATTGCACATTGGAGAAACACCTGACGTCGGGATGTTTTACTGTGCTGACCAGTGTCAAACGTGAAATTGAAAGAACTCAAAAAGTGCACTTTAAATTCAGTTTCCGCACTGGTCTCGCCCTAAACTCGCGTGACCACAGGGTATATGCTGTTTTTTTTTCTCTCAACTCGCTTTTCTACACCACCGGTGTATGATTTTTTTCTCTCACCACCTTCAGTTCCTCTTTCAGTTTTCACCATCCTTGGGTGCACGCTGCACACCGCCTAACTTTCAATTTGCGACGCCCCGATAAACCCCTCCGCCTTCAATTGGACTCCAGGGCAGTAGATCCAGTCGACCAAAAAGCCCCGCTGCACTTTCGGTGTAAATATATCAAAGGGTTTCCGGGTTGCATTAAGTCAACCCCAGTGCACCGGACCAAATAGCTGGGGAAACATTTAAATATGTGGGTATTAATGATTTTCAACACATTGGTGGAAAGTTTTCTTTCGGAAAGTTGAAGGGAGGGAGGGAAATTTTTAACAACGAATAAATCACGTGAAGTTTCCGTGTAGATTGTTAATGAAAAAGCAGGGAATTTCGGGAATATTCAATGGAATTGATTGAGGTTAGTGAATTTTGCGAAAATTCAGGCAACTAGTGGTCTAAATTTCCAGATCATTGAAAATTTTATTGAATATAATCTGGACACGTACACGGAGAGAAATATTCAATCAAAATTACCAGAAAAAAGACGTAAAAATTACGTTTCGAAACGTAATCTGGGAGCGAAGTAAAATTCAATAAAAAGTGTCAATCGTCACGTAAATTCTACGATCTGTTCCGTAAAAATTACTCATCCGTCCGACGCCTCACGGCTAGCCATGAGTTACCGTGAGGGGGAGATTTTAAAAACACGTTCCGTAATTTTTCCGGAACTTTTCGTAAAAATTCTTAAACATCCAAGAATTTTCATGTTCTGAGGCATAATAAGTCTTGAAGTTTCTGTTAGATTTTACAACTTCCAGAAAAATTACGTGACTTTTTCGTATTTTTTCGGTGACAGACCCGAAAATTTACTGAACGTTTCAGATTTATTCTCTTATATTCC